GAAGACGTGACCCGACTGTCCCCGCTCCTCGGCCAAACCCCGCCGGCTCCCGCCAAGAGCCACGAGTCTGGGGGAAATTCAGGCGGAACTGGAGCTCAAGAGAAGCCGTGGATGCTTGTGGATGGTTTTGGGGCAAAAAAGGGCCGGTTCTGGACATGGCCAAAGCTGTGTGGCCATGTCTGTGGGATGGCTGGAGGGCTTGGGGTGCCTCCAGATGTGGGTGTCCCTCTGGAGATAGATGCCGCTCTGTCCCTGTGCTGTCCTGGGGGGGGTTACAAGCACTGGGTCATGGTAATTTGGGGCCATGGGATGTTGGCACCGGTATCTGTTGGAATCCCGGTGTCTGGAGAACCCGCAAAAGTCAGGACGGGCGTCTACAGCCCCTGTCTGCCACCTCCAGCTACCCCCAAAATCCCCCATAGAGCCTTGTCCTGGCCAGGACCCAGCTGCTTGCCCAGACCCAAGGTCTGCCAGGACTGGATGAACCTCCAGCCCTTCGCCAAGCCTGGAGCCGCCTGTTGATCCCATTGATCCCATTGATCCTGTTGATCCTGCTCATCCCCATGCAATTCCTTTTATCCCAAGACACGTTTATCCTTGATTAAACCAAATTCTGGGGCTTCTGTTGCCGTGGGAAGCTGGGTGGGCTTGCAGGAACCTGGGTCCCACCAAAGTGCTGCCCTGGGTTAGTGGTGGGCTTGGACCACCAAACTCCTGACCAAGCTTGCTTGTCTGATCCCAGCTCAGGTAGGAATCAACTTAATGGCTTTCCTAAGGCTGGAAAGGGTCTGGAAGTCAAATTGTCAACATCTTCAATGCCCGCAGGCGTGGGGATGGAGGAGGATGTGGTGCCTGGAAGATGCAGCTGTGGTGGTGGGTCAAGAGCTTGATTGTTAGAAGATACAAAGTTTGGGTGTTCTTGAGGACATGGGCTCTAGAAGGTTCTATGCCTTGCATGGTGAAGATACGGTGTCTGGAAGGTGCTACACTCTAGTGGTGGTGAGGGACATGGTTTCTAGAAGGTGCTGTGCTTTGATGATGGTGCAGGACGTGGTGGCTAGACGGTGCTATGCCTTGGTAATGGTGCAGGATATGGTGGCTAAAAGGTGCTACACTTTGGTGATGGTGCAGGCCAAGGTCCCTAGAAGATGCTACACTTTGGTGATGGTGTAGAACATGGTCCCTAGAAGGTTCTACGCCTTGGTGATGGTGAGGACATGGTCTCTAGGAGGTTCTACACTTTGGTGGTGGTGAGGAGATGGCCCCCAGAAGATGCCACGCTCTGGTGATGGTGCAGTCAGTCCCACTGACCTCACGTCTCCTAGCGCAGTCTTAAACCCAGTGGAGACCACTCTGGGCTGGGGCCATGAACCCACCATGGTCGCTGCACCCAGTGCGGCCCAGCCGGGAGCTGGGGTGGGGCTGACACCAATGGGTGCAGCTCATCCCCCCCTGTGCCTCAGTTTCCCCACAGAGCTGGGGCTGCCAGGTGGGGTTCCCCATCCCCACGGAGCCCACCAATCACCCCTCACCAAACAC